GATGTCCTTTATTCCTTCTGTTATTTGATAAGAGTTCTAGAAATGCTAGTGGTAGCAATAATACAATAGAAAGAAATGAAAAAAATAAAGATAGGTAAAGAAAAGATTAGACTATCCCTATTTTTTGATGATATAAGGAATCAGCAAATAAAAAAACAAGGATAGCTTCAGTAAAGGTACAGGCTACAATATAAACCAACAAAAATCAATGGCATTTCCATATTACAATAACAAACTCCAGGAAGTAATACCAGAAAGGCAAAGTCCCACTTAAAAATAACTACAGAGGCAGAGCCAAGATGGCACAGTAAAAACAGTGACTTGCTTGAGCTCTCCGCCAAACCCCTCCAAAAACCTGTAAAAAATGACTCTAAACAAATTCAAGAGCAACGGAACCCACAGAAAGAGAGTGAAACAAATTTCCAGCCCAAGATGACCTGGATGTTTGATGGGAAAGGTCTGTTGCACCTAGCTAGAAGACAAGAACAGTTCAGCATGGGCCATGCAGGCAATGACGGGACCTCAGTGAACCTGGAGCAGGCCTCTGGAGACTGAGTGACTGGCAGTTGTGGTGGTTTCCAGACTTCTCAACACAAATACCAAAGACAACTTAGAAGGTCAGTAGGAAAAGTCTGTTGAACCTGGATGAGAGAGGAGCTCGAGGGGCAGCTGGGTGGAGCAGTGGATAGAGCACCAGCCCTGGAGCCAGGAGGACCTGAGTTCAAATCTGGCCTCAGACACATAACACTCACTAGCTGTGTGACTCTGGGCAAGTTACTTAACCCCAATTGCCTCACCAAAAAAAAAAAAAAAAAAGTAATTCTAGAAATGTTCGCTATGGCAATAAGTTAAGAGAACAAAATCAACTGAATAAACATAAAGAAAGAGGAGAGAGGAGCTCCATCTGGCCCCAGCCCTGGCTCAGACTCAAGTCACGGCCTCTGGAGCTCTCGACCCACAGAGAGTGGGGGGATCGAGCAGGTGATCAGAGGGGGTTTGCAGGGAACTCTTTGCTGAAGCTGAGGCAGGATTCTCTTGCTTTGCCCATGCTTGGATCTGGGTCACCGTCCTGGGTGTTGGTCCTGGGGTGAGAAGAAGCACTGGTGTGGTGGAGCTTGTGACAGTGGTGGAGAGGGAATTCTCCTCACAGCTCCAAGGCAGAAAAGAGTGCTTGTGGTCACTCATAGACCAGAGCACAGGCCAGGAAAGGAGTAAACATCTCTCCTTTGATCATACCACCTTAGAATAACTGAAAATTTACAGGTCCCTAGAAGTATCTCTGAAAACAGCTGCACAAAACCCCTGAAGCTTGGGACAGCACACCCTCCACACTGGAAGTAGAGCCCTACCTTAACAAAGAGTTAAAAAGTCAAGTAATTGTCTGGGAACATGAGCAAACAGCAGAAAAAATCAGACTATAGAATCTTACTTTGGTGACAAAGAAGATCAAAACCTACAACTAAAAGAAGACAACAAAGTCAAAGCTCCTACATCCAAAGCCTCCAAGAAAAATACGAATTGTTCTCAGGCCATGGAAGAGCTTAAAAGAGATTTTGAAAAGCAAGTAAGAGAAGTAGAGAAAAAACTGGGAAGAGAAATGAGAACGATGCAAGAAAATCATGAAAAACGAGTCAATAGCTTGCTAAAGGAGACCCAAAAAATACTGAAGAAAATATCTTAAAAAATAAAATAACTACAAAATGCACAAAATACTAGAAGTCAATCTACTAAAGCAATTCAATACCTCGATAGATACAATTATAAAATGCTACTCAAAAAATGTAGAACTTAAATAATTAAAAGGATATTCAGTATTCATCACTAGGCTATGTTAATACAATAAAATAGACAATGCTACAGTAGTAATTTGCAGATTCAGTGCCTATACTAAACCAGCCTACAAAAGGGATACTCTGTAGAGCTAGACAAAATAATAATAAAAACATTATTTAGAGAAACCAAAGATCTAGAACATCAACGGAAACAAAGAGATACATTTGGAGTAAAGAAAGAATAGCACTTGCAAACATCATTCTACGTTACAAAGCAGAATTCATCAAAAGTATTCTGTACTGGTTAAGAAACAGAAAACTAGATCAATGAAACAGACTATACAAAGAAGAATCAGAAATAATTGAACTCAGAAATTTGAACTGAACTCAAACTCATAAAACTTGAAAACATAAATTTCTAGAAAAGAATTTCCTATTTGATAAGAATTAACTGGAGTAGTGGCAGAAATTGGGTTTACACCAACATATTACATAATATACCACAAAAAGGTAAAAATGCATATGCAATTGAATATGAAATATAAAAAATCAGGAGAGAAGCAAATCACATATCTTTCTTAACCAAACAAGGTATAAAGGTGATTATAAAAGTTAATTTCAAATTGCATATATTTGAAGCTTTTTCACAAATAAAACAAATGTAACCAGGGTAAGAAGGGGTGCAGTTAACCAAGGGAAAAATTTGAATGAAATATCTTGGGTATGGGTGTAATAGCCAAATTATATAGAGAATTAACACAAATATATGACAGAAAGCCACTCCCCAATATACTGGAGGTCAAAATATATGAAAAAGAGAGAAAAATTGCAAACTATTAACAATCATGTGAAAGAATACCCTCAAATTTCTAATGGTAAGAGAAAAGCAAATCAAAACAACCTTTAAGTCCCTTTCCCTCATACCCAGGAAATGGACAAAGATGATAAAAGAGAAGAATGGTTAGTGTTGGAGGGGATGTGGAAAAATAGGCACAGTAATACATTTTTTTGGTGGAGCTGGGAATTGTAACTATTCTGGAAACCAGCTTGGAATTACATGAAAAAAGTGATGAATATGTTCATACCTTTTGACTCAGAGATTCCACTTCCCAATAATGTCAATGATAAAAAGAAAGGCCCCATATATACCAAAATACTTATAGCAACACCTTTTGTGCTAGCAAATAACGGGTAATAAAGTAGATGTCCATTGAATGGCTAAAGGAATTTAGGTACATGAATGTAATAGAATATTTCTATGCTATAAGAAATGACCAGGAAAACTTTCATAATGACTACAACAATACAAAATGGAAAGAAAACAACTGAAAATGAAAAAAATTGCTCCCAAAGAAAAAAGATATAAGAAGACATAGGAGTGGGGGATCACCCACATAGATATTACATATAATATCAGACTTTTTCTATGTCAGATTGGCTAAATTTTTCTTCTTTTTAAAAATTCTTTAATATAAGGTATGTTTTTCTGGGAGGGAATGGTTGAAGGGATACAGTACAGTATAAAAACAAAGGATATCAACAAAATTGATTTTTAAAAACTGAACTATGAAAGAAACCTATGTCCTTTGGGGGAAGTGGACACAGCGTCACTAGCCTAGATCTGAAAAATACTGTAGAAGAGCAGAACATCTGACTCTCACAAAACTCTTTTAGACAAGATGGAGAGATGAGAACTAGATGAGAGATTTTTAACTTTTTTTGTATCACAGACTCCATTGACAGTCTAGTGAAGCCTATGGACCTCTTCTCAGAATAATGTATTTAAATGCATAAATAAAATATATAGGATTACAAAAAAATTATGCTTAACTAGTTACCAATTATTTTTTAAGTTCAAAGACCACAAGTTAAGAATTCATTGAAAGTAGTATCTGATAGTGAGCCCCAGGAATCTGTGCTTGGTCCTGTGTTGTTTAATATGTGTATCAGTGACTTGAAGAAAAGGTTAGACAGAATGCACAATAGAAAGTGTGCTGGATATGTAGTCAGAAAAATCTAGTTCTGCTCAAATACCAGTTTTGCTACTTACTACCTGCGTGACCTGGAACCTTAACATGTCCAAGTCTCAAGTTTTTTCATTTACAAAAAGAGAAGGTTCGACTAAGTGACCTCTAATGTCTCTTCTAGATCTAATGAATGCCTATCAGATTAATAGATAAAGCAGAGACGGAAGGGATTGCTAACACAATGATGAACAAGTTAGGATCTCAACAAACCTTGAGAGATTTTACAGTTGGCCAGTTCTAGTGAGATGAAGCAGAGTTGGAATAAATGTTCAAAAATCACTTTCACAAGTACAAGATTGGGAAGGCATGCTAGTTTGTATAAAAAAAAATATCTGGGGGATGTGGTAGGTTTCAAGTTCAATGAGACAATGTAATAAATGTTAACATAAACTTAGGCTACATTTAGAAAGGCATAGAGTCCAGAGAGCAGATGTTCCTACTGTACTCTGCCTTGGTTAAATCACATCTGACATATTGCGCTCAGTCATAGGCACTACATTTTAGGAAAATCATTGATAAGCTAGATCAGGGGTGAGGAACTTGTGGCCTTGAGGCCACATGTGGCCCTCTAGGTAAGTGTGGCCCTTTGAATCCAAACTTCCCAGGATAAATCCTTTTATTAAGGGGATTTGTTCTGGGAAGTATGGATTCAGTCAAAGGGCCACACTTGAGGACCTACAGGGCCCCATATGGCCTGGAGGCTGCAGGTTCCCTATCCCTGAACTACAGTGTCAAGAGGGCAACCAAAATGGTGAAGATCATTCCATACGATGGTCATCTGAAGGAAGTAGGGGTTTAGCCTTGAGAAGAAAAGATACAGCTTTCTAAGTATTTGAAAAGCTTTTTCATGGAAAAGGAATCAGACTTGTTCTACTTGGTCCACAAGTATATCCATGAGTAGAAGTTGCAAAGAGGTGGATTTGCTAAGCTAAAGCCTTAGCAAAAGGAAAAACTATCTATAAGAGCTATCCAAAAGGAGGTAGTCAGGGGCAGCTAGGTGGCGCAGTGGATAGAGCATCAGCCCTGAAGTCAGGAGGACCTGAGTTCAAATCCAGCCTCAGACCAAACACTTGACATGTACTAGCTGTGTGACCTTGGGTAAGTCACTTAACTCCGATCGCCTCACTAAAAAAAAAACCAAAAACAAAAACAAAAGGAGGTAGTTGGTTCTCATCACTTGAAATCTTTAAGCAAAATCTGGATGGCCACTGGTCAGGTATTTTGTAGAAGAGATTTTTGTTCAAGTATATGGCCTCTGAGGTCCTTTGAATTCTGATTCTATAATTACAGACACTCTGAGGTAGCATTTCAAAATACTTCAACTCCAGTGTTTACTAAACTTGTTACACTGATAGAGGTTTTTGTCTTTTGTGACTTCTTTGATGTTTAATAAAGTAGGAATTCTGATTAAAAGCTCTTCCACACTCATTACACTAAGGTTTTTCCCCTGCATGGATTCTCTGATGTTCAACAAAAGCTGTGAACCCAGTAAAATTCTTCTCACATGCCAAACATTTATATAGCTCTTGTCCTTTAAGATTTCCCCATTGTGTTTCTACCTCTTCCTTACCTTCACAGGCCTCCCTTTGCTCAGGATCATGAAAAAATCTATTACCAATGTGGATTCTCTGATGTCTGAGAAGATGTGAACTCCGCCTGAAAGCTTTTCCACATTTACTACATTGATAAGGTTTCTCCCCAGTATGGATTCTGTGATGTTCAAGAAGGCTGCAGCTCTGACTGAAAGTTTTCCCACAGTCATCACATTCATAGGGTTTCTCCCCTGTGTGGATTCTCTGATGTTTAATAAGATCTGAACTGTGACTGAAGGCTTTCCCACATTCTTCACACTCATAAGGTTTTTCTCCAGTGTGGATTCTCTGGTGTATAACAAGGGCTGAACTCCCAATGAAGGCTTTCCCACATGTATCACACTCATAAGGTTTTTCACCAGTGTGGATTCTCCTGTGCTTACTCAAACCTGAACTTTGAGCAAAACACTTCCCACATTCATCACATTTATACTGTCTTCTTCCAATAGTGTTTCTCTGTTTTTTTTCTAACCTGATTTCTTGTTCACAAGACTCTCCACCCTCTAGAACCCTGGAAATTTCTCCACTAAATTGGCAAGATGGGTGCAATTCCTCAGGAAGTTCTTGTTTTTTAACCGATTCTCTGATATCCATCCTGAGTTCACTATCTGAAACAATAAAGACATCATCAAATGTTAATACGGCATGCCAGAGGCAGTGTTCTATAGAAGTAAGAGCCTTCATCTTAAACTAGATTTGCATAACATCTTTGCCACCTGATTTCTGTGTTACTCTTCCTAAACCTCAAGTTCCTTCATACATAAAATAAGGATAATAATACTTATACTACCCCTCACAGAGTCTTGTGAAGGTGTTTTGTAAATGTGAGCTGTGGTGCTAGGATGTGAAATAGATGTGAGCTACTATAATAATAAGAAAAAATCTGTGAAGATATAGATCTTTAATATTCGCTAAGAATACACAGGTTGTATCTTTCTGTATCATTCCATCTTGAGGCTGATGATGCAACTGAGAGACTAAGCAGAATACTAGATAAGAAGCTTAGGTATGACAGAGCCTGGTCAACTATAAAAACATATTTCGCACTATACAAAGTAATAAGGAATGGAGATCCTAGGGCATATGCAAAGAATAAATATAAAGAGCTAATAAGGACTGGAGAAAGACAGTAGTCCCCTTTTCTAGATCATCCATCTATGTCTTACCCCTATAGTGAGTACTTTGATCTGGGCCCTCAGACATTAGAAGCTCTCTTCTGTAATGGTCTCTACAAGTGAGAAATTCATAATTTAACTCATAGAAGGCCTCATAGTTTCTAACAATGATGCAAGTTGAGGAACAAAGTCTAAATAAAGACTAATTCTCTATAAGTTCTTACCCAAGGAGACCATGTACCCATAATTCTCTTGATGGTCACCTCTACAGGGGTTCATTTCAGATGGCTCCAGGTGCCCCCACTCATCAGGGGTTAGAGACAAAGCTTTATCTTCCATCTTTAGCAACCCCTGAAATAAAAGGAAATCTCCAGTCAATTTCTACTGTTCCATTGCTGAGATCTACTGAGAATGCTATGAAGGAAAACAAGCTTAGAAATAAAACTACAAGTACTTTACCAAAGAGCAGAATAATCATCTTTACAAAGAAAACAAAATCAATAGTCTTTAAAGGAAGGGAATGAGTAAGACGTGATCTCATCACAAACAATAAATATCTAGAATAAGTATTTCCATCTACACAATGAAATAATATACTGCAAAGGATTTAGAAAACAAAGTATTGTAACAATAAGAACTGTGGAGATCTGAAGAAACACAAAGAAAATTAGATTAAAAAAAAAACAGGAACAAACCTAAGTAAAGAATTTAATATAGAAAACATCATAGAATTAAATAACAGCCCAGGAAAGATGGAAAAGATCAAGTATGAAGATAAGGGTACAGATATGGACAAAAGAGAAAGAACCTCTTGTGTAACCCAGAATTTAAAGGATATATAAAAGATACTTGTTCAATTGAATATTTTTAAGCCCAGTATTGTTGCTGTTGTTGTTGTTGTTTGGTCATTTTTGATCATGTCTGACTCTTAATTACCCCATTTGGAGTTTCGTTGGCAAAGACACTGGAGTGGTTTGCCATTTCCTTCTCCAGATCATTTTACAGATGAGGAAACTGAAGTAAAATAGGGTTAGGTGACTTGCCTAAGCCAGATTTGAACTCAGGAAGATGAGTCTTCCTAACTCCAGGTCTGGCACTCTCCACTAAACCACCTAGAAGCCCAATATAGGTATAAACTAAAAGAAAAAAGAAAGGTATCTAAGACTATTAATGTAAGACTATTTGGTTTAGAGTTTAAGAAAGATAGTGATTAAGAAGTCTGGGCATCTATAGTCTAAATCTGAATGGGTCTTTCATCAGGGCCAAAGAACTTGGGCTAAGTTTCCTTGCAGGGAGTTTACTGAACAAGTTCTAGAAGAAAGGAAGGAGACAAGACCATAATTAGGCAGCAGCCCTGGGGTCCCTGTGAGGACATCTGGGGCAGTAGTTCACCTGAAGCCTCGGAGTGGGAAGCACAACTGCAGTTTCCAGGTCTTTATAGCTCCCTTTTGGGAAGTAGGCAGGAACTTGGAGAGCTATGGAAAAAGAAAGGAGTCTTGATTGAGACCAGATTTGCCATGCAGCATCCCCTCACTATGGAAATAGGAATCTTTAATCTATACATTAAATATCTATATCCATATGGTATATTCAAAATTGTAGACTATATACCCAAAAGCCCAATTTCTATTCCTGTCATTCTTAAGGCCTAAAACAAACACACATATTTCATTTACTTTATCTGTTATATACCTAGTGTGTGACAACACAGGTGCTTTCTAGAAGTGGCCTTAAGGATGGTATGGAATCTGGGGAAGGAAATAGGAAAAAAAGAATATCTTCCAGGTAGCTGCCACATAATCACCACAGACATGTAATAACAGATTATAATAACATGCAATAATCAAATTACACTATAAATGCCTTATGGAAGGAGATACCCTAGAATGTTCATTTTTCAGGGAGTCTCTTCAACTATGGGAGGAGGAAGGGGTGTTTTTATTAGAAGCTGCATGGAAAATACACCCAATGATTCCTACACTGAGCATAAGAGGTTAGTTAGGTTAACTTCATGGCAGTTAAACTGCAAAATCAGGACTAATAGAAAATTCTGACTGACATTGTCCACATCATAATTCTTGTCTATTTTATTATTAAGACTTATAAAAGAATAATTTTTAAAAATATCACTACCATCTCAGTGTATATAATAAATCTCTGAAAGACACTGAAAGTAAATTGACAATGAGTTTAAAGAACTGTATTTGTGATTGTCTCTGTTATTCTATTAGGAATAGCTCTTGATCAAAAGAGTACTTCTTTTCAATTTTTGGGAGACCTCAGAGGACCTTTACACTCACCTCTCTCTTGGAGGGAGTGGAGTTCCTGAGATTCACACTTAAGTTTGGTCTCCACAGGCTGGAGCTGTATACTCCATTGGGATTCCTGGGCTGAACTCACAGAAGTCATCTTGTTCCAAAGCCCTTCCTTTCCCTGTATACTGGCTGGGACCTGGAGGCAAGCAATTAGGTACATTTTTGCTTCTGAGAGAATCACTGTGAGACCTAGAAATAATACTTCAGAAAAAAATAGCACTGGCATAAAATGAGACAGGAGGAAACAGCCTGAGGGACATAATTCATTATATGACCTTAATACAAACATAACTATAACAAGTTTTTCTCAACCACTAAACTAATATCCCACCCTTTCAGGCTTGGAAATTACCCCTTTAATCTGCCTTCCTCTCCCCAGAGGGCTGATATAACTAGATTGGTATAAACTAGTAGAGTAACACTTTTACTAACAAATCATTTTTCCTTTTTACCTGCTGTCCTGATTCATCAAACTCTTTTTCCAAATCTTCCAACAGACTCACTGCCTCCTCTCCAGTCTCTGGATGATGGTTCAGAACCCAGGACTGGAGCTCCTCAGGTAGGATACTCAAGAATTGTTCCAGCACCAGCATTTCCAGGATCTGTTCTTTTGTACAACTTTCTGGCCTCAGCCATTGGCAGCAAAGCTCCCTAAGCTGACTCAGAGCCTCCCGAGGCCCCGGGGTATCTTGGTAGCAAAAATTCCTGAATCGATGCCTATACATCTCCCAGGTGGAGGGACTGCTTCTGTGTAAACTAGATTTCCGTACACAGCCGCGTTCTTCCTCTTCTTCCATCTTCACTGCCAGAAGTCCTAACTGTTCTTTAGGAGCCTGGTTGTCCAAGGCTGCAGCATCCCTGGATCCTGTAGCCATTCTATGTTAGAATAGTTCATTGGGGGGCTCACTCCTGCTGAGGTTTTTGCTTTTTCAGGAAATTCCTGAAGAATGAGAAATCATTATAGACTCATGAAAAAGTCTGCTAAAAGCTACTTTATGTACATGTTAATGGAGGGCCAGTCAGCAGTAAGGAAGCACTGACAGTTGCATTACAGTAGAGAAAGATGATATGGGATGAAAGGGAATATGACATACAGACCTAAGGAGGAATAAGACTGAATGAGTGACTGAATGAATGATGCAGCCTTTGTTATAATTATGTTGATAAGAACAAGGCATAGTGAAGCTGGATCCTGACAAAGATTAGGCTTGAAGAAACAGACGCTGTTGTAATGTATTAGTTGTACCTATGATGCTTGGTGTGAATGTAAGAAGAGTTGTTTTTAACGGACAAGAATATCTGGGATAACGGTAGAGGAGAAAGCCAACCTATATAAATTACGAATAGCACAAATTGTTTACATGCTTAAGGCCAGGGACAAGTCAAAAGAAGAGTTTTAGAAAAGAGCCATCCCCAGCCTCGATAAAAGGTGAGCTTTGACATGTATAGTACTAAACTGGACACAGCTTTAGGGTAGTTCTTGTGTTTTACTTACACCTCAAATCATTTATGAGTAGTAATTTAAGTCACTTGCCCTGCTACAAGATGAATAAGCGCAAGTCAATAAGTACTTTTTCTGAACAGTTTAGACCTAAGACTGACTTGACATAATCAGTTTCCATTGTAATGTAACCCCAAGAAAATGAAGAAAATAAGGAAGAAACATTTATCCAGAGCAAGCAAGGAGCTAACGGAAACGTTAACGGGAAAACATTTCTAGTTTTTCAGGCTACAAGGCTCTGAGGGCCCCCCGGCGGCTCCTCCAGGCAAAAAAAAAAAAAAAAAAAGGTGCACCTGCTTTGGGACACAGGTCCCCAGCAAAGCCCCTGAGCTTCCTTCGGCGCCTCCACTGACGCAGGAAGATGGATTCCTGCCAGCCAGGTTTCCATCCACCATGCCCTGAGTCGCTAGCCCAGAGAAGGTGGCCGGGGGCTGGAGCTGGGCCCAGGGCGTAGGAGGCGCCGGGGACAGAAGGCGATGCAGCTAGGCATGGGGCGGAAGCGACCCCTCCCACCAGGCGCCTCTGTGTGACGGCAAAGCTCCTTCCTCCCCCAGAGTCCGAGTCTTTTCTTTCCTCTTTGCATTTTCTGACCGCAGGTCGGTCCTTCTGCGGGTCTCTATACAGATCCTGGGGCTGGCTGTGGCGATGGGAAGCCGCACAGATCTAGCCCCAGAATCCCCCCGGGTATTTCCCTTCCGCCCCTCTCACCTGGAGAGCCTGAGGCTCCCGTGCGGCCTTAAAGAATGAAGAAAGAAACGCCAGGTTGAAGCACTCGGCGGCCAAGACCAAAGAAACCCACACGCGGAACTCCCGGAGCAGGCTCGGCGGAGCCGAAGCGAGGGAACCACAGGCACTTCCGGGCCACGCTAGCACCCTAGTCTCGGTGATTTTCTCTCATTCTTGACCTCAAAATTAACCCTTGAGGGCTTACTCCCAGAGAGTGCCTTCGTGGAACTCTACAAGAACCTGGAAAATGTCCTTGATTCAGGAGTGTGTTGGAGCTAGATCCCGAGCCAGTTGTTAAATTTTTAATGTGAGCATTTACACCTCTGGAAATGGGCAGATACTTAGGGTTTGATTTATTTGCCAATTGTTTGATTTATTTGCCAATTGTCTAGACTTAAGAAAATTATGGAAGAAAATGTGTTAATAATGCAGATTAAACTTAGAACAATCTCCTCCGTACTTTTTTTTTTCTGGAGAGATTGTTGTTAAACATTTCCAACAGCACACCCCATAGTGAACTGCTAGATCGCAGGTTGTGAGATGTGGGGAATTTTAGATACCTTAGTCTGAAAATGAGAAAAATTTAGCTGGAAGATAGGGCTCTTCAGTGAGGACTTTTAGTTACAGTCTTGCAAATCTCCAGTGATTAGCTGAAACAATAAATAGATCATCCGTTACCCACTGGTGATATCAAAAGGTGATGAAAAAATGCAACAGGTTTACTGCAGTACATGAGGACATGGATAGAGCATCTCTGTGTTCCTTTCTTACAGCTTCGGGAACCTCCTTTGGAATCAAAGGACCTGGATTCAAATTCTACCTCTGATATTTTTACTACCCATGTATCTGTGGAAGAGTCACTTAATGTCCTTATGCCTCAGTTGCTTCAAATGCAAAACAGGGAGGTAGGCTAGATGGCCTCTGAGGTCCCTTCTGGCTCCAAATCTATGATCCTGTGTTCCTCTGGTTTTTAGAGAGGTGTGTAGTGGCATCACCTTACACAAAAAAGGATGAGGAGAGTCCATTAAGGTACCCAAACTAAGGAGGAGAAGTGGTTATGACATGGCAGGGGAAAGTTTTATGGCCAGAGTTCATAGTAAGGGTGGAGATACAGCAACCTGAGATTTAGGGTTATCCAATGTTAGTGGGCTGGGCCATCAATGGATGACTGAGAGTAAAAAATGGAAAATGGAGAGGGTTCCATCAACTGGCAAGAAAGGGATGGAGCAAAGAGGAAGGCAAAGAAGATGGGCTGAGCAGGAAATTTCAATTAAAGAGAGATAGTAAGGAATGTCGTAAGTTTGGAAAATGAAAAGGAAGAGAGGGTGTTGTTTAGTTGTTTTCAGTTGTGTCCAACTCTTCATGACTCTTTTTGGGGGGTTTTCTTGGCAAAGATACTGGAATGGTTTGCCATTTCCTTCTCCATCTCACTTTACAGATGAAGAAACCGAGGCAAACAATGTTAAGTGACTTGCCCAGGGTCACACAACTAGTAAGTGTCTGAGACCAGATTTGAACTGGGTCTTCCTGAGTCCAGGTCCAACATACTATCCACTGCTCCACCTAGCTGCCCCAAGATAGAGTAGTGACGTCCATATTGGTGGGAAATAAAGACTAGGGTAAATAGGAACATGATAGCTAAAGGCTTGGAGACTATAAAAAAGATGAATGGAGAAAAATCAGAAAGAAGTGGGATTTTAAGTATAATATCTACAGCATTTTCACATGTGTGATCCCTTGAATAACTTACCCCACATTCAAGATTTTTGGTGAGTCCATATCCACTGCCTTGTTTACTTTTTCTCTAGTCACAAATAATTTAAAGAAAGGGTATTTAATGAAAGATCATTTTAAGATCTGCCATAAAACATTCCTGTTAGGAGCAAGCCACTATCCTTTAGTTCAGGTTCAATGTTGGAACTAAAAGAAGCACTCATAGGGCATTCAATAGTTAACAAATGGAGTTTTGCTTAGTCATAGCATAGAAAGCATATTCAACAAGGGTACTCAAGCATTTAGCTTGAGTAGATGCAGTACTCTTCATCTCCATATAGAAAAAATCTGGTCAGCATGGCAGAGTATGGTAACAGCAATCTTAGTACTTCCTAAGTCTAAAAGCCCCTGAATCCACACAAGTGGGCCTTTTTTATGTCCTTAGGTGACCAGGAAGTCATATCTGTATTGACCATAAGCTGCATCAAGCTGCAACTTGAGCTTGGTCTCCTGGCCAGTCAAGTCCCAGGGATAGTTTTGTCATCTTTCAGGGAAAAAGTAGCCTAACCCATGCTGAGTGGAGGGGAGGGGGGGCAGAAGAGGGAACCCTGGTAAACATTGGTCCTATCATAGTTCCATTCATATAAGCCAGGCAGAATGCCCATAATCCTAGGCATTTTTCACGCCTATGTCTAGAGAGGAAGCAAAATCTTTTGTTAGAGATAACTGTTAAGATACAATAATCCTAGATACTCCCAAAATGTTTTCTAGATGCAAATGAATTAGAGCCAAAGCAAAAAGTAAGCTAAGGAGGCCAATTTGTACCCACCTGTTCCTATACCTGTCTATGAGGGAGTGCTTGCTATGTACCAAGCACTGTGCTAAAATGCTGGGGAAACAAAAAAAGTCAAGAGAGTCCCTGCTTCAAAGGAGCTTACATTCTAATGGAGAGGCACTTTAGTCCAGAAAGTTAAAGGGATGGTGATGGAGCTATAGGAGAGTAGGTCTGTAGTATACCCCATTCAGGAACCATGTGATAGTTGATTTGATCATGATTCATAGTGCCAGGCTGTGCAGCTAGGTAATGCAGTGGATAGAATTCCAGGTCTGGAGTCAGGAAAACTCATTTTCCTGAGTTCAAATTCAACCTCAGATACTTACTAAGCTGTGTGACCCTGGGCAAGTCACTTAACCCTGTTTGCCTCAGTTCCTCATCTGTAAAGTGAGCTGGAGAAGAAAATAACAAACCACTCCACTATCTTTGCCAAGAAAACCCCAAATGGGATCACAGATCACTTCATCCATCCATCAATTTAGCATTCTGTACTAATCACATTCAAAAACCTGTATAGAGAAGCAATTATACTTTTAAATTCTTATTCATGCAGTTTCTGAGTAATGCCAAATATCAAGTGTATTTTCTATTAAGGTCTGATCTAGCTATAGAGGGTCAAACATCATAATTATTTCACATTAAATGATATCACATAATTTAGTTTTAGGACAAACTCAAATAAAATCTGGATTTATAATCATAAATGACATTATTTAAAACCTCAATTTTCCCAAGGGCCATTAATTGCCAATACCTCAAATCATAGAGCCCACTTCTTTCATTTAGCTTTATGGTAACGGTTTCACATTCTCATTTCCTTCTGAAAGTATTTCAGCATTTTAAAAAAAATAACTTCAAACACTAATTTGTAAATTGCAGCAAAGATATTTACATTTCAGTTACAAATTTAATCTCTAACTTATAATACTATAAATTTCTACAAACTACGAAAAAAATTTCCTTTCTTTGCTTGTCTGTCTTTTATCTTTCTAACCTCATTCTGTTCAGGGCTAAAATGACAGAGAAAAGATAGCTTGCAGGTTTTTTCTTTGTTTGAGATTACAGAAAGCTGAGAGATCTGTTTTAAATATTAAACTTTATTAATCCTCCTCACTATTCTAAATTCTCTGGCTACAGGTTTTTTATTTGTTTGTTCATTTTAACAGAAGTCTTTATTTCCTTAGAAATCTCCAAAGTAGCAGCATCTACAAACAGGACTATGTAAGACTTACTTATGTAAGACAAAGGTTTTCCTGAGAAGTTCATAGGGAAGGCTAAGAAGGAGAAAAAGGGTTTCCCTACTGTTGAAATATGAATGTTCAACCCACAAATGCTCAACCCTGAACAACAGTTTATTTGATTGATACATGTATGAGCTTCCCTGATTAATCTAAGGTCCTCCTAAATGAATGGGTGTAAGACTGAAATTAGGCAACTGGTTCATCGAGGTCACTCAGGCAATTAAACTGGTATTAGGACAAGATAAAATACAACACAAATAGCTGATAAAGAATTCCGTCAGTAGGTCATGTGGTTCAACCAGTGGCTTTTGTGTTTGAGTCCTGGAACACAGTGCCAAACTCACCGAGATATTAGGGTGGCTGCCACCAATATACAGTCTCAGACATAGACATCCAATTTCTTTTTGTTTTTTAAATGTCAGCATTTTTATATGTGAGATGTAAATGATTTGGCCTTATTGAGTCCCTTATAATTAGTCCTTAGTGTTTACTTTGTATTTCTCCTGAATATTATATGTTGAATTTTTCCTTAAGTTTTCCTGTTTTTGTCATAACTACCTGAAAGTCTTTCAGTTTGTTAAATGTCTTTTTTTTTTTCATTCAGGATTATACTTTACTTTGCTGGGTAAGCTACCCCAGCTCTTTTACTTTATGAAATAAAGTATTCCAAGACCTACAGTCCTTCAATATAGTAGCTGCTAGGTCTTGTGTAATCCTTATTGTAGTTCCATGATATTTAAATTGTTTTTTTCTTATTGGTTCCAGTATTTTCTTCTTAACCTGGGAGCTTTGAAACTTGGCTATGATATTCCTGTAAGTTTTCCTCCTGGGATCTCTTTCAGGTGGTGATCAGTGGATTTTTTCTATTTCTATTTTGCCTTCTTATTCTAGAACTTTAGAGCAATTTTTCTTGATAATTTCTTATACTATTGTATCAAGGTTCTTTTTTATCATAATCTTCAGGCAATCTGACCATTCTTATATTCTCCTCAATCTGTTCCCCAGATCAGTTATTTTTCCAATAGATGTTTCACATCTCTTCTATTTTCTCATTCTTTTGATTTTTTTTATTATTTCTTTATGTCTTAGAATGTCATTAACTTCCCTTTGCCCAATTCTAGTTTTCAAGGAATTATTTTCTTCCTTAAGTTTTAGTTCTGTATTTCTTTTTTTTCCCAGTTACATGTAAAAACAATTTTAACATTCATTTTTAAAACTTTGAGTTCCAAATTCTCTCCCTTCCTCCCTCCCCATTCCTTCTTATTGAGAAGGCAAACAATTCAATATAGGTTACACATGTGCAGTCATACAAAACACTTCCATAATAGTCATGTTGTGAAAGACTAACTATATTTCCCTCCATCCTATCCTGCCCCCATTTATTCTATTCTCTCTCTCCTTTCACTCTGTCTCTCCTCAAAAGTGTTTTGCTTCTGACTACCCCTTCCCCCAATTTGCCCTCCCTTCTGTCACCCCCCCCTTCTTTTATCCCCTTCTCCCCTTCTTTCCTGTAAGGTAAGGTAGATTTCTGTACCCAATTGAGTGAGTATGTTAGTCCTTCTTTGAGTCAGTTCTGATGAGAGTAAGGTTCACTCATTCCCACTCACCCCTCTTCCTCTCCATTGTAAAAGCTTTTTCTTGCCTCTTTTAC